ATTGAAAGATAATTAGCATATGCCTCCTTTTTCTAACAAAATGTGGCGGGAAACCCTTTTTCCGAAAAAGAAAAAGTAAAAATTAACAGCTAAGATCCCTCCTGAGGAAATTATTAGTATTTTTCTTTTTACTATCAATCATGGAGGCAAATTTTAACCAGAACAAACGTAATGATGTTTATATAGCACCAAAGCACGACTTTGTTATAGTACTAGAAGAACACCCATGCGTTGCAACGGGGCCACATTAACTTTAAGAGTTCAATATCAATTATGTTAATATTACATTTAATATTCTCATACATATCAAGTGACATTGGCGACCTTTTTACCATCAAATTCTCACACACACTCTCTCCCTCCCTCCTCCTCACTCTCTCTCCCCCTCTCCCTCTCTCTCTCTCCAACACACACACACATATCCATCTTATTGGGTACGGGACCATAATCCATCTATTTCACACGCACACGCGCTAGTGCATAACAATATGAATTATAAAATTGGTTCAAGGTAGTAACAAGGATTCATCTCATGCATTAATAAACAAATGTTCTGCACTGAAGACAAGATAAACAATTCCCAAAGTGCATCAGAGCATCACAGAACATTACTGGCAAGATAAATGCACGACGATACACCCGACTCATTTAATTAATATAATTAAATTATCAGTAAATTAGTCACCAAACTGCTCGGATGAACCGGAACAGAGCCAACATATATCATCCTAGACAAACGCAACATCAACCATTTACCTTAGTACTTTAGGGACCGACAGGAGGATGCTTGTAGAAGCGCTTCTTGCCTGCGAGTCCACAGTCAGAGAGAGAAATTGGAACCCATTCCCATCACCAACTGATAAAGAAAGCATGTAAGAAAATTGATATCGGGCCAACTTGGATCTTTGGTGATTGTCCGCCGGTATGGAGAATTTAGGAGGGTGGGTGCAGGGAGTGGCCTTGTGGATGATGGATGGAGGCGCGGAGGGATGTGGTCACTGGAAGGTCGAAAGCGGAGAGGGTCGGGCACGTTAGGTGGAGCCGGTGGTGCGCGACAACCGGAGGCGGCCCAATCATGGGCGGCGAACCGACGATAGCCTCGGCCCATCTCTCGACGCAGCGAAGATAGAGAGGGCGGCACTGCCGGTGCTCGAGGCTGCCGCTCGGCACCATCTACATCGAGGGGAAAGAGAGGCGAGAAAGCGATAGGGTGATGCGGGGCTAGGGATTGCGGAGGAGGGTGGGGGTGTGCGATTTGAATGGATGGTTCTGCCCACCGTTTTCTTGTACGTGGCGGTGGAGACGGCGGCGTCCAGCCATGCAGGCGAGGCATGGGTCGAGCCGGGCACACGGCGAGGCGCAGTAGCAGAGGCGGGGGCGATTTTTTCTACTGAGATGCAGGGTGTGGGATTGATCGTTCATGTTCTCTTTTCCTTTTTAATGGGAGATGGATGCGATTTTTTCACGAGGGGAGAGATGCGACCACGTACAGATTCCATAATAAATTAATTAGGTCCATAACGAGATTTCTTTACAATGCGTTAAGATTTACGTGTTAGTTTTCTTAATAAAGAAATGCACCGATGTAGGGATCGATTGATCCGGGTAAGGAAAGATAGATTCGTGATCTTTTGTATGTTAGGAAATTAGTGGTTTGCAAGGAAAGAGTGGAGAGAAAAAGAACCAATGCGACCACGTATAGATTCCATAATAAATTAATTAGGTCCATAACGGGATTTGTTTGCAATGCGTTAAGATTTACGTGTTAGTTTTCTTAATAAAGAAATGCACTGATGTAGGGCGCGATTGGTTCGGGTAAGGAAAGATAGATTCGTGATCTTTTGTATGTTAGAAAATTATTGGTTTGCAAGGAAAGAGTGGAGAGAAAAAGAACCAGTACGAGGGGGTGGTGGGAGGTGGGACGAATAAAAACCGGACGAAATTGGGAGGTGGGAGGGGCGAGTAAAAACCGACGAAAAAAACCAACGAAATTGGGAGGTGGGAGGGAGGATGAAAAAAAATCAGAGGAGGTGGGAGGAGGACAAAAATAAACCGTACGAGGCTATCAACTGCTCCATTAGGAATAGAGATTGTTTGTGAAAATAACATGCGATGACGACTTAGCGAGCGGATCCCCTTAAAAAAGACATAGCAAGCAGATTCCCTTAAAACTGGTAGAAATGGATAATAGTGGTGAATGTTGGCATAATTTACTATCATCATGCATGAAAACGAATCATCAAGAAAAAGAATACTTCCTATTACTACACTCATAGAAAGCTTCCTAATCTCTGCTACCAAACAAATCTCTGCTACCAAACAGTTTCTGCCCAAACAAAAAAGGAAAGTTATGGACGTGATTCGAAAGGAAACAAACGTAATGAAGTTTAATTAATTTAGATTTGATTTTTAGAGATTGATTGTGATTGATTCTTTTACATAAAGACATCACTAAATAATTTGCGTCAGTATGAAAAGTTCTGACCCGTTCAGTTTTTTTTGTTGTGTGAGAGGGTGAAGTGAAAATAAACCGATGAAGTGGGGGAGGCGACGAAAAAAATCTACGACGGTTAACCTACGAAAAAAACCGGATGAAAATGGTGGGACGAAAATTGACCCGTGTAGACTACCAACTGCTCCATCTCTACTCCTAATGGAGCAGTTGGTAGTCTCGCTTCCAGGTTTTTTTTCGTCCCACCACTTTGGTCCGGATTTTTTTCGTAGGTTAATCGTCGTAGATTTTTTTCGATGCTGGTTTCTTATTCACCGGTTTATTTACCCCTCAGCTCTTTCTTTGCAAATCATCACTATCCAAATGTGCACGCAGTCACGGATCTAAATTTACTAACTTATCCAAATCAACCGATACCTTCCATTATTGCAAATTTCTTTAGGAAACAAATAATAGATTTTAAGGAAACAAATAATAGATTTTAAGGAAACAAATAAAAGATTTTAAAGACGCATCATACTTTACTAACAATCACTAAAAATCAAATCTAAATTAATTAACCTTACCTTAAATCACTCAATCACTTTAATTAGAAAACATTTTCTTTCCTAACTGCACCCCGCTTAGTGTGCACATAACAATCCGAAGTAATTAGAGTCACATGATTGAATCCATTTATTAGAGTGACATGATTGAATTCATTTATTAACAATAATCCTCACCAAAAGTGCGTTTAGCAATTTTAGAGGGCGGACCAAAACTCTACCATCCGCTCGCCCGCGTTTGTTTAGGTACAGGAAAAAATGGCATAATATATGAAAACAACACGACCGGGGCGGCGGTGCAATCTTTGGGGATAGGGGATCGAAGGAGAAGGATTGGCCTGGCAGCATGATCGGGGTGCTTCCCCGCGGCCGCGGCCGTCCTCGCGATGCCACCTACCCGAAATTAACGCTGCTCCCTGCCGTCAGCCGAGGCGACGCCGCCTGCCCTCCTACCCACGGTCCGCTGTCGCGTGCGGCTACGGCGGGAGGAGTAGCGACGGGGCCGAGGTCCTTCATGCGTTCCGGGATGGAGGCCATGATTTCGTCGAGGTCGTTGCTGCCTCCTACACTCAGGGTGTGTCGCCGAGATCGAGGCGAGCATGAGGAGCTGTGGCCACCGCCATGGTCACCCCATCGCACGGGATGGAGCACGCCGTCGGCCTACACCTTGTGAAGATCACTGTTGCTCTTCAGGTCGCGTGGTGACCGGATCTTGCCGATGTGTCCCTCCCTGCCCCGGTTGGCCGGCATGGATCTCGCCACTGCTGCCCTCAACTTCTCTGCCTCGAGCTCGACGGTCAGCCACCATGGATCCCCCAGCTGGAGGGTCACGTGAACGAGCCGTCCTCCCATGCTGCAGCGGCGAGAAGGTGACATGGCTCTCCATACACGAAGAGTGGAGTTCGGTCAAGTACTTATATACTTGGCCTCTACTGTTGATCCATGTACATGGAGAAGAACAGACAACCGCTCATTCATGCTTCGTTCCACTCCTTTGCGCTACATTACTGGAGGTGACATTTTCCTATCTCTCTATGTTGTAACAAGCCTGCTGCCTGCATAGTTAATGGATTTTTTATTTAAATTTATCGCTGCTTAGTGCTTTGTTGCAATTGTTCATCCAAGATTCTTATATATAATCTGAGCGTATGTAGGCATATTTAGCTTTGCTATTCCATTTTTTCTGGCGCATAGAAATAACAGTATTGTCCAGGTTAGGTATCCAAGATTTCTCACATCTGGTTATAATATTTGTGAAGACGTGCATTGCACGTGCACTTGGAAGCGGGCCCGTGGCCCGCGCTGGACGGCGCCGACGCCGACCGAGCCACCTCGTCCGCGTATTCTTGGAGCTGTGGCTGGTCGATTTACATGAAATTAATTCCCTCAGTTCTGGTGGCAAATATAATACACATAATCCATATTATTATATACTAGCGTGTATGTGTGAAATAGATGGATCATGGTCCCGTACCCAATAAGATGGATATGTGTGTGTGTTAGAGAGAGAGAGGGGGATAGAGAGTGAGGAAGAGGGAGGGACAGTGTGTGTCTGTGTGTGTGAAGATTTGATGGTAAAAAAGGTCGCCAATGTCGTAATATTGAACTCTTAAAGTTAATGTGGCCCCGTTGCAACACACGGGCGTTCTTCTAGTTAAAAGTAGAGATTGGCTCGGTGAGCCGGAGGTGGGAGGAAGTACCAAAGAAGTACCAAAAAAGACCGGGTGAGATGTGACAAAAATAAACCCAAAACGCGACCTACCAACTGAGACATTAGAGTAGAGACTATAAGAATTTTTTTTGCGCTATATTTTTTTTGTCAACTAGGCTTGGCCCCCTATATCCAAATCCTGGCTCCGCCCTACCATACGAACACACACGGGCTCGCTCATGCACACAAGGTATATCAGAGTGACAGAGTCCATTATCTATCCGTAGTAACGGCATGGCTGCAGATGCTAGCCGAGCTTTGACGGAACATAGAGAAGACACGCATAGCTGGCTCAGTGCTGTCCGCCGGGAAGCTTCTCCTTGATCTTGTCCATGACGCCCTTCTTCTCGCCGGTGGCCTCGGTGCTGTGCGTTCCCGCGTACTCGCCCGCCACCGCCGTGTGCTGCTGCCCGGCGGTGGCGTCCTTGTGGGCTCCGCCGGGGAGCTTCTCCTTGATCTTCTCCTTCATCCCCTTCTTCCTCCTGCCGCCCACGCCGTCGTCCTCAGACTACACACGCACACAAGCACACCAAGTTAGGATGATGGAGTGGAGCGACACAACACAATATACGGAGCCATAGACCTGTCCCGGGGCTTACTGAGCTGGAGCTGGAGCTGCCGGAGCGGCGCAGGACGCCGTCGGTCTTGTGGTCGTCCCGCGTCGCCTGGAGCTGCGCGCCGGTGCCGGCGGCGCCGTGCGTCCCCGTGGGCCCGCCGGTGAAACCGCCGTGCCCGGCCACGGGCTGGCCGTACTCCTCCACCTTGTCGGTGGCGTGGCCGTGCTGCCCCTGGTACTCCATTGGGGTGGTACGAACAGTGATCGATCTACGGGTGATACGTGTGGCTGTGCAAGTGTGTTGAACTGATGCGAACTGCGATGGAGATAAGTGCAAAGGTGGATGGTTATTTATAATGGTCGTAGGTGTTCGAGTTCGAGATGCGATGGCTTTGCAGGTGGAAGGAGTACGTGTGCGTGCATGGATGGCGGAGTGGTTATCCTTCTACCAATAAACATAGCCGGCGGTACGGCTGCATGCCACGCGGCATCGTCTGCGGCGCCACGTACCTCTTCGGACTTTCTCGAAGCGCTCTTCTCGAAGGGCATGACTACCTGACTAGTCCATCCACGCATTCATAGTAAATATTCCCTCTGTTTTTAAATATTTGTCTTTCTAAACATTTCAACTAATGACTATATAAAAAGCAAAATGAGTAAATCTATACTATAGAATATATCTATATACACCTGTATGTAGTAATTCATTTGAAATCTTTAAAAAAATAAATATTTTAAAACGGAGGAAGTACATGTTACGTATTTCATCCGTAAACTAATATAAAAGCGTTTCAGAGGAAGTATATCGTGCATGGCAAGACCATCATTATTGGAATGCTAGTTAGGTTAGATGGACAGTGATATCATTAGTTCTTGGTGCTCGTAAACGAATGTAGTGTTAGATTAGCTGACATTTAAAACGAAGGATCAAGACATGAATCCAGCTTGAAATATGAAAGTTACAAACACACAAAATGACCAAACGATATAAAGGTGCTGAGAGCATCTACAATTGGACTTGACAAATTCGACCCCTACACATTCGCGAGCATATATAGATATGTCCACAAACAGCGTTAGACGACCTCGGCAGCTCGCACATTCACACTCTTCAAATGTATCCATGCACATTCATCACAACTCAATAGCTTGAAACAAATACGACAAAATAAAATAAATCATAGTTCAACAATCAAAACAAAATGAAATCGAAGTCCGGACATGACGGATCACTCGCTGGTCGGATCATTCGTCGGATGCCATCCATGCCGTCTGCTCCATGGCCATCTTTGTGTCCCGCTCCATCTGCATCCTTGCCTCCTCTTCCGCTACGGCCACAGTCGCCCTCGCCGCCTTGTAGTACGTCTTACGTTCGATGATCTCCATCTTCATCTCCACAAGCCACTTCTTTGCATGCTCATCCAAGAGGCTTTCGTCTGTCAACATTATCTTGGCATCCTCCCGTCTCGTGTGATTTGTAACCTCTCCTTCTCATGCTCAATCTATCGAAATGTCTTGGCCTTCTCAAGATCCCATCGTATCGAGATCTCTTTCTTCTTCAACTTGATTTGCAACTTCTTGTCCGCCCTCTTCCGGTCTCAATTCATTCCTATTGCGCATCCAACATGAACTTGTACCTTTCCTCTTGTTCTTCCTAACAGAAAAATGCCCATCCACGTGGAGACCATTTTTGTAGCCGCGGTGTCACGGGAGGGGCACGCCTTCCCCCACTTGTTTCTCATCATTTGTCAGTTATCTTTTGGCACAGTGGCTCTTTCATTCTTCTCTACAACATCTTCCTCTTCTTCATCTAACCCAATTGATTGGTGGGAGCTTGAGCCATCATTCCTCTTCTTGTCGGCCTTGAGATCGGCCACAAGTTGTGTCCACTTTGGTTGCCATTCAATATCACCCAACAATGTCTAAAACCAAATGGACTCTTCTCCGTGTTTTGATACATAGTGGCCGCCACCACCATCTAGCAAACAAAATATGTATGACAATAAGAATGCAAGAAAAAACAAACATATGCAAAAGGTAACAATAACTAATTTATCATAGTGAGTTGCCACTCCCATCCCAATTTGAGGGCGGCCAAACACTTGTGAATAGTAGTTAACGTACTTGTTTACTTCCTCTTGAATGATCCCCAACGATGTTGGAGAGATGCCACATTGCGGTTCATGACGATAGGATGCGGCTCCGCATATTGCTTTTGTTTATGGCACTTCTTCCAAATCTTTTCCCAATACTTATTCTGCCTTTCCTCCGTGCCCCATATGGGAACCATTATTTTGGCCAATCAAGATTTAAAGAATAAGATATTCTCAAAAGTTGAGAATGCCAAACCTGTTGCCTCTGTCGTCTTTGGCTTCTTTTCCTTCTTGCTCGGATTGGGATTTGGTGTTGCCCCAACTTCAAATGAAGGGCAAGTTGGATCCCTCAAATCGTAGTCTATTTGGTTCGGATCATGATTATCATTGATCATGTTCGACATGATAAACTCCTAAAATTATCATGGTTTGCACACATTGATCATGTCCGAAATGAATTAACGGTCTGTGCAAAACATAGATCATGGCATATGCAAAGTTGATCAGTGAGGAGCAAAAGGAACATACCGAGTCTTATTGTGGCATTCCGTCGAACATGTCATGGGTAGACCGCAGGTGCGCGTGCTTGTCCGCACCCAAATAAGTTGCGGCGTCTGACAGACACCCACCGGTGGCTTCTTTGGCGAAAAGCTCTCCAGAATGCCCCAACCGGCCGTCGGATTCTCCTCTGTCTCAACCTGGTCTGACGGCACGATTCTTGTCGACGGTGGATAGACGGGATGCGGGGTTCCGGGCGCGGCGGGGGGTGGGGGCAGTTCCTCCTCGAGGTCCACATCTGCTCCCTGCGACACCGCCGCTTCCCTCTCCTGCTGCCTCCGTTGCCGGTCCCTCCAGGCGATGTTCTCCGGCTTGCACGATGTAACCGAAGAAGGGACACCGATGGGCGACGCAAACACAACCTCGGTCGTGGCGGTGAGGGACGAGATGAACGACATCTAGGGCGGCGGATCTGGACGGGCGGCATAGATGGGGAGCAAGCGTGTCTAACAATGAGGCCTCGGACGCGGGTATTGATGAAGGGAGGCGGGAGGAGGGCGAAGTGTTTGGTGAATTTGGTGCAATTTGGGATGAGGGCGGAGTGTCAAGTCTATACCTGACCATGGGCCAGGCTGGGCTGGGCTTGGGCTAGGCCAAAAAAGCCTGTGACAGAAAACTAAGGCCCATGCCCTCCCAAGGCCCTACCATCGGGCCTACTTTTCAAGCCCAAGCCTGGCCCATTTAGTGAAAAGCCCTTAGGGCTTAGGGCCGTGGGCCAGGCCTCTTCCTTAAAATGCCAAGGCCAAGCCTATCCAGACCCTGCTGGTTGGCTCAAAACTCAGGCCGAAACTCGGCCCACAGGCAAGCCCATCGGGCCTAGGCCCTGGATATTAATGCCGGGCTTAGGTGGGCCGACATGGCCGGGCCGGAGATGGCCAGGACTAGTCAGGTCCAACGTGGCATACGCGCCCGGCCCCTTCCTATATCTGGCCTACATTTAGACTCAATATGAGGGGTGCTGATCAGCTGGATATTTGAAGCCTGTTTGAGACGCCCGTCTGACTCTTTGACCGGTCAGTGATCGGGCCGTTCGTCTGGGCATTCTTTTTTTTTTGAAAACCGTTCGTCTGGTCATTTAAGGACGCTTTGAAGACTAAATGCTCTGGCTGAACAGTTAAAGATGCAACGCATATTACGAACATAACAAAGTGGGAAAATGAAGTGACGCATCCAAGGAGTACACTACCCATACGACACCGTAGCTAGGGCTGGGCGTTCGGTTTTTATGGTTAATACGGTTCGGTTTATTCGGTTTTCTTGAATTTCGGTTTTGAAGAAATTACCACCGAAATTAGTACACAAAATTCAGACACCGAACCATATTAACCCAAATATATCGGTTCGGTTTGTTCGGTTAACCAAAAAACCGAATTACATGCATCCATCAGTCAAAGTGTCACGATTAATGAGAAGGGGTGGATTTTGTACAAAATGCACAAAACAATTAGTTCCATGAACGCACATACATGCACTTGGTGGAAGGATTCACTAGCTTTTCACTAGCCGTGCATGCAAAAGAATAGTAAAATATTCCAATGGAATAAATGAAGAACTAATCATTAGCATAGTAATACGTATTAGCATGGCCTTACGCACTACTTATATTAGAGATTAGAGTTTTTTGTAGAATGCATCGAGACACCAGAACTTGGAGAGGCCAGTAGCAAAGTACCTTTGAGCAGTCGGCCGGCCAGATGTGGCAGCACCGATACATTACAGAGTAGATTTTTGAGAAAAATAATTGTGCAGCAACCATTGGGTTGGGCCGATCGCAAATTGGTCTGCCAGCTGTTGCGCACTTGCGCTTGCACTACAGGAACATACTAACCTTCCCCTAAAAAAGGAACATACTAACCAGGATACGTACAGATCGGTTTCTTCGGTGAATTCGGTTTGTTAGCGATCAAAACCGAACACGACACCGAACACCGTACAGTGGTCGGCTTTCACACCGAACCATAAAACCGAACACCGAATAAACCGACAAATCGGTTAAAAAGGTTTGGTTTGGTTTGGTTTTTCGGTGTTCGATTTCAAAGTGCCCACCCCTAACCGTAGCCGTCCAATCGGGAACTCTTTTGTCTACTAAGAATCAAATTTGATTCTAGTTCAACTTATACAGAATTTGATTTCATTTCTTAGTCAATTCAATTCCAATATTTAAGTTTCGATGTCACATGAAAATAATTATTTCCCTTAATAAGTTATGTGTGCTATGAAAATTTGTTATTTTCGCCCACAAGTGTTGCCAATATTTTTGATCATTGGTTGGACGGTATTTCAAATAGGTACAAAACGTTAATAAGGGTGGGAGTATATGTCTTATTATGGTCGCTTTGGCTATGTAGAAATGATATTGTTTTTAATGACAAATCTGTTTCTCCTTTGCAGGTTGTTTTCCGTTGTACACACTGGCTTCGTACGTGGTGTACGCTACAACGAGCGGAGTATCAATCGTTGTTCAAGGCGGTGTGTACACTGTTGGAGCAGGTGGCTATGGAGGTTTTTACCCAACATGGATAGCAGCATAATCTCCGGCTCGGTCCACCGTCTCTTTCGACATAGACATAGTGTCGGTCTATGGACTCTACTG